TTGTCAAAGTTGAATTCTTCAAGAGTTTGTTTTAAAAAATCCCAAGAGATTTTATCATAGGCCTTTTCCAAATCAATTTTCAATATCATGCCCCATTTTTTCCCTTTTTTGATATGCAAAGAGTGAATGATTTCTTGGGAAATAATGATATTATCATTAGTATTCCTACTAGGAATAAAACTAGACTAATTGGGCCTAACAATTTTCCTCAATAAAGGTCTAATCCTGTTCACAATAATTTTGGAAATGATTTTATAGGTCACATTGCAAAGGCTAATGAGCCGAAATTTGTCATTTGTTCTTCACTGAAATTTATGAAATTTGTGGAATTTATGAAAGGGTACTTCTAGAAAATTTGTAAAATTTGTGAAATCAGATAAAGAACAAATTTTGTTTTGTTTTGTTTTGTCTTTTTTTTTTTTGTTTTTTTTGTTTTTTGTTTAAATGGTGAACTTTGCAGATAAAAAAAAAAAAAAAAACAATTCAAAGTTTTCCTGGAGGGGATCAACTAATTTGAAGCCAAAATTCTGTTAATCTTTGATGATATGGTATGTTTGGCAAATGCAAACCTTCTGTCAATTTGACAACAATGCTACATTTGACAGGAGGAATAACAGGTGGAGACTCATTCTTTTCCACACTTGCCAAATTATAGTTTTGACAATTATTGACAACTTTATTGGAGATGCAATTATACCTTTTTGAGAAGTATGTGTTCAATATAATTGGTTTTTGTACAAATAAAAATAATTAAAAAAATTTTAAACACAATTTTATAATCAAAATAATATAACAGTAACATTTTTATAAATCATTATCGCAATAACGGGTTGTGTTTTTAAATGAAGAAATCACAATAAACCATATCACCATGACGTAATAATGGGTTTCTTAGAATAGAAGTAAAAGGTAATACTTTTTACAAAAATGCTTTATATCCCACTGACTCCCAGTGAGGTGGAAGTCCGTGATTGGGCGAAAAAAAATTGTTCTTTTTTTTTTTTTTGGTTGTCAGCCTGTGGGGGCGTGCCACCTCACTGGGGGTGCGACCCCCACTGGGAGTATTTAGCAGGACGCTACTTTTTACAATACCCAACTAATAAATTTATTACTAAAATAATGATCTTAATAATGAGTTTGGTAAATACTGACAGACTTATTTTGTGAAGAAGGTTAAAAATTATTTTTTAATTTTTTTAAAAAAAAATGCGTAGAAAAATAGAGAGATAGTGTAATTTAAAAAGCTAGAAAATTAAAAAAGTTGCTTTTAATCTCTTTACCAAAAGAGGTTACAATTGTTATGAAAAGTTGATTAAAAGTTGATTTTTTGATTTTTTAAAAAAAATATGTAAAAAAATAGAGAGATTATATAATTCAAATCAAATTAAAAGTTAAAAAATAATTTTTAATTATCATTTCAAAATAGTCCAACGTGTAACTTGGAGAGCACTACAAAGGTTAATGCATTCTGTTTGAATATGTATTACTTCGACTTTGACTTCGACAGATTTATTTTGGTAAATTATAAATATATTTTGGAGATTTATTTAAAATATAATTAGAATTATATAATTTTGAAAATAAAATTCCCACGTTGGACAATATTTAAATCATCAAGTTAATTAACAGTTTTTAATAATGTTAAAATTTTATTTCAATTAATAATTCAGATAATTTTATTATTGTATAGGTGAACAGTTATAAATTTTACTTTTTAAATTAATTCTGTTAAATAAAAAATTTTGACCATCTAATATTTATAATTTTTCAAATTATAAAAAATAATTTATATTTTAAGTAAATTTTAAAAAATGTATTTTTAATTTTTCCATTTATTTTCTATGCTTTAGTGAGAGATACATTTTTGCATTGGTAACATCATGTATATATATTTTTAATAATGAATTAATTCATATATAATAATTGGCCTCTTACATCACGTTACCGACCGTTGGCCTTTCTGTTGGAGTGACACGTGTCAGATGTTTTTTTTTTTTTTTTTTTTTTTTTTATTTTCCTTTTCGCTAGTAGTTTTTGCACATTGTACTGCCGCTTACTACTTCCGCCCACCGTTTCGTATGTTTTTTTTATTTGAAAACTGCTTTTGGGAAAGCTAGTTTACAGTAAATTTTTGTTTGGCAAGTGATTTTGGAGTTAAAATAGTTACAAAAGATAAAATAAGTTATTTTATTACAACAAATAAAACATCACATTTCATCCATAATCATTACACTCTTTTCTCATAAAAAAAGTCAAACAAGTTAAAAAGTAAAAAATTCCTTCCCAAACTAAGTTTTTTAGCCCAAGCTAAAATAGGCAAAAAAAGTCAAAAAATCAAAAAATCAATCCATTTTCCAAACGGAGGCTAGTTGTAAATGTGAGTTTTTTCTTTTTTTTTTTGAAGTTACCAAACGGCCCTTTATTCACCGCCTCGGGTTGATATATATTAGATTTGATTCATATAATATAAATTATTATAATAAAACTCAATAAATTACAATAATAATAGCGAAGATTAAATATAATATAAAATTTTTACAAAAAAACTCCCAAAATAAAAGTAAAAATCTTAACTAATAGATGAGGAATAAGACTTACACAGATAAGAAGATTCGAATTACTAAACTCTTAATGAGTTGCAAAAGTTGTGGCCAAATTGGGCTAAGGACCTTTTAAGCACCCTCTCATGGGGGTTGATATTGAAATTGAAAATTAAAAATATATTTTTTTATCAGGCAAAATTATTTGAAAAATGCAAATCATTTTGCATAACCACAAGGATCAAAGAACGAGTGATTCATTAAGTAATGCTTGATCATTAGGCAAGTTAGATTTTTTATTTTTTATTTTTATATATATAATTTTAATACACTGTTTGTATAAAAATAAAAAAGAAGCAAAAAATAAGCACACTTCTGACATTAAAGGAAGGAGTGATTCACAAATTCATGTAAGCAATTGAAGAAAACACAAAAAGTACAGATGATGGGCCTCCATCTTGGACCACCCAATAACTTACTCCTAATAACAGAAGGCCCATTAAATTTGAATAAGCCATAAGAGAGCTAGAAGTTTTAAGGCCCTAAATAATAAGTCAGAATAGATGGGCCTTCCCTCTAAATGGGACTAGTGGGTGTGCCCTAGGTATGTTGTCAAATCTGAAAAATACAAATTTTAATTTAGGTAAATTATAAATAAATTCTCTAAAATTTACTTAAAATAAACTAATATTCCTAATCTAATTGTTCACTATGACTTTCCTAAAAATTAAGTCCTTATCTTATGGCTCATTTAAATTTAATGGGCTTTCTATTATTAGGAGAAAGTTATTGGGTGGGCCAAGATGGAGGCCCATCATCTGTACATTTTGTTTTTCTTCAATTGCTTACATGAATGTGAATCACTCCTTCCCTCAATGTGAGAAGTGTGGTTATTTTTTGCTTCTTTTATATTTTTATATAAACAATACAGTAAAATTATATATATAAAACAAATGTGACGTTCAGCCAGCATCTAACTTGCCTACTGATTGAGCACTACTGTGGGAGACATTTATAATTTTTTCCTTCTTTCAAGTGATTTGCATCTTTCAAAATAATTTTGCCTCATAATTTTATTTTATTTTTTAATTTTAAATTTCAATATCAATCCCCCTTCCTCAACATGAAGTCACATTTTTTTTTTTTTTGAATTATTTTCTTTTCAATTTTTTTTTTCTTCAAATTTGTCATTTTTTAAAACTTTTATAGTCCATCTGCTCAATCTGAGACATATTAGCTATTTAATTGTAAGCTCACACGGTAACTGAAAACCCCTAAATATGATTGATGCATAAAAGGTTCTATAATATTAAACATACAATCATTCCCTGATACAAATTGAGAACCCTCTATCTCCATTTTTTTTTTTTTAAGGTTAAGAGATACAAATCTCCATATTCTAAATCTAAAAATGCTGCAACATACATCATTTAGCCATGTTAGCTATTTAATTGTAAGCTTAGACCGTGACCAAAAACCCCTAAATATGACATTATAACAAATAAGAGTTTTAGAAACCAAATGTTTTGGTCTCTAAAAGTGAAAATTTTGTTGCAAAAGACATTTAAGAATCAATTTCTATTATCATAAGAATAGTTGCTAAAAGGTCGTCCTGAAATGTCCAAAACAAGGCTTTTAGTGACAAAATTTTAAAAATGTCACTGATAAATAAGCTTTTAGGGACAAAATAATTTGGTCTCAAATGGTTTATTTTTTGAGACAAAAAATTCGGTCCCAAAAAGATAATAATTCATCACTAATGTCTAATTTTTGTTGCTAAAAATATAATAACAACACTTTTCGCAACAAAAATATTTAGTTCCTAAAAAATAATTTTGTCCCTAAATTTTGGTCTCTAAAATCTTAATTTTTTGTAGTATGATTGATACATAAAAAGTTCAATAATATTAAACATAAAATCATTCCCAAATACAAATTGAGAACCCCTCTCTCCATTTTTTTTAGATTAAGAGATACAAATCTCCATATTCTCAATTTAAAAATGCTACAACATACATCATTGAGCCATGCTAGCTATTTAACTGTAAGCTTATACCGTGACCGAAAACCCCTAAATATGATTGATACATAAAATGTTCAATAATATTAAATATACAATCATTCTCATATACAAAATGAGAACCCCCTCTCTCTATTTTTTTTAAGAATAAAAGATAGAAATCTCCATATTCTCAATCTAAAAATGCTACAACATACATCATTGAGCCATGTTAACTATTTAATTGTAAGCTTACACCATGACCGAAAACCCCTAAATATGATTGATACATAAAATGTTCAATAATATATATTAAACATACGATCATTCTCAGATACAAATTGAGAATCCTCTCTCTCCATTTTTTTTAGATTAAGAGACACAAATCTCCATATTCTCAATCTAAAAATGTTGCAACATACATCATTGAGCCATGTTAGCTATTTAATTATAAGTTCAGATTGTGACTGAAAACCCTAAACATGATTGATACATAAAAGGTTCAATAGTATTAAACATACAATCATTCCCAGATACAAATTGAGAACCCCCTCTCTCCATTTCTTTTAGATTAAGAGATACAAATCTCCATATTCTCAATCTAAAAATGCTGCAACATACATCATTGAGCTAAGTTAGCTATTTAATTTTAAGCTCACACCGTGACCGAAAATCCCTAATCAGGTAATGGGATATCAGCCAAATCCTCTCTATACGGAACCTGGTCTGGCACGGGCATAGCCTCAAAGTTGGCGTGCCCGTCCTCTATACTTGTCTGGGCATTAGGTTCAAGTTTTGGTGACTCGTTGAATGTTATGACAGTGTCTTTACGAACCATCAAGTATATAACTGCGATGATATAGATAACCATGAGCGGAAACACTAGTATTCCAATGAACACATTTGCAACTTTGGGTAAATTGTTGTGAATGATCCATCCGATGAAGCCTGTGCTCAAGTAATAGATGTTTATGCCAATGATTCCCAGACCTAAAATCCATGACACGATAATAATCTGCATTCATAAATCAATGGATTACATTAAAGACGATAGCAAAAAATAAAAGGAAAAAATTTAATTCAGTGTATATTTACAAAAACAATTGCAGATCAGTGATAAATTTTATAAATATTAATAATTAAATTTTTAAAGTTTTTCATCAATTTGTAATAATTTTTTAAAAATAACACTGGATGATAATTTTTCTAAAATAAAATATTTCATAAACTATAACAATTGAGCCGGCAAAGAAATGTGTCTTCTTCTTATCTTCTTTGGATAAATTAAGAAAGAAAAGAGAGTTTTTTTTTTTTAATACCCTTTTTGTTTGTTTGTTTGTTTTATAATCTTGTTTTACCAAATAATGTTATTTAAACTCTAACTAACTAATAACTACTAACAATTCTCATAAATAAAAAAATAAAAAAGCAAGAAATAAAAATAATATAACAACTCACATATATTGAGTTCTTGTGAGGTCCCATCTTGGTGGTACTACTACTGAATTTAAGGAGTGGGATGAGAGCAAATGGAAGTTCAAAAGATAGTACCATCTGCAAAATCAATTAACACAAAAAAAATTATGTACTTATTTTAGTTGAATTATTGGTTAAATATAAATTTGAAAAAGTGTTCAACGGATGGCGAACTGATGCGATGATGATGAGTCGACCAGCTCCAGAAGATCCACCGATAATTGAGACAATGAGACTAGGTGTGATGGCAATGGTCCTCGTCATTAGGTTCCTCAACCATTTTCTCATCTTAAGATCCAAAAAGCCCTAAAAATTGCACCACTTAGCTCAAATTAAATTCAATTGCATGAAAATTAAAGTAAAAAATCTATCGTAATAATTTGTTCGCCACCTGCATGATAAATTGTCCAGCATAAGTGCCTGTAATTGTGGAACTTTGCCCTGAGGCTAATAATGCAATGGCATAAATGATGGAGCTTGATTTTCCGAGCATATTCTGCAAAATGAAATGTTTTAGATGAATTTTGTGCTTAATAACATAATCAGTTTTTTTTCTTCTTCTTCTTTTTTATTTTATTTTATATATGTATATATATATGTTGTAAAATATAATTATATTTTTAAGAGGTAATTAAATAGTGATTTAGACCTTGAGAAGAAAAGGAGCAGAGTTGAGATTAAGATCACTGCATCGATTTAAGTTGTCATTTGAGATGTTCTTTGCCGAACAAACAGTTGCTGATACCGAGACTATAGAAACATTGATTAAGAATGCTACAAGCAAAGCAAAACTACTCTCTATCAAGAAGAATCGACATGCATCCTGAAAAACAAAAGAGATTAAAGATAAGAATATTAGTCATAGATACATTAAACAATTTACGCTTGAGAACTTTGTATTAGGAAAATGGTATTTTATTCATGTAATTGAATCCTAATAGGTAATTGGGATTTAGACACATCGATTTGAGAATAAGTATAAATTGAAATTATTTATTTTGCATAGATTGATGTAGACTTATCGATTGTTTTCATTTTATTCTATGTGATTGTATAAATTAATAATCATCTAACATCCATAGCTTCGTTTTTGCTTTTACTTTTTTTGTGTGTTTATCATGTTGCAACTGAGTAAATTCTCTCATAAACTGTTTTCAATTTGATTGTACACACACACATATATTTATTCACATATGCACACACAAAAATATATGTTAAATATGGTGGATATATATTGTTGGCTTACGTTTATGCCTCGGACAGAATTTGGTATCTTTCTAGAGAGTACGAGAGCTGAGTGCAGAAAAAGGTTATGCCTGTTAAGAAATTATAAGAGAAATGACAAACTTAATGTGAATCCAAAAGATTAAAGACGAAGAAAGAAGAAGAAGAAACCATTGGTTAATCAAAACATTGATGGGAATTTAATATTAGATCAAGAAATGTGTTATATAAAAAGATGAGATCGAATATGAGCATACGGCATAACTAAGGCCCCAAGTAAAGCGATGGCATCCCCAGTGGCGCCATTGCCCTTGAGCTTAGGGATAAACATTCCCTTAAGCAGATCTTTTGCTGGAGGTTTTACATAACTCATTTCCCCGAAGAAACATGCAGCCATAATGAAGACCAACACCGCTATCAACATCTCCAGCTTCCTCACCTACACATAATTAAAGTCATAAAAAAAAAAAAGTTAGAATTTTTTTTTTTTTTTTTTTTTTCATCATATTTGCAAATTGCAAATTTTGAGTAGTTGAGTTTCTTGTTTATGCATGTTTTGTAGTTTTACATACATTTTCTTGCTCTTTACTGGGAATCAAACAGGATTTGCTAAATGGAATGCTGCATCAAAAAATTGTAACAATTGCACTACCATTTCATATATTTCATTGTCAAAGTTAAATATTAATTGGATTTTTCAAATATTATATGGAATTTTTTGGGTCACTATTAACAGGCCTAAACTTAATTGAGTTTAAAAAGCAAAATTAAGATTTTAATAATAGAAAATTTCAATTGCAGTTGCAATAGACAATCCTCTTTTTATCTAACATCAGAGCAAAACATGTATAGAAAAGACAATAGCCGATCAAAGAATCCATCAGAACATTTGTAAGGTATCTCATAGCGACAACATATAATATATAACAAATAGATTACTGAAATTTATACTACAAAAAAAACATATGCAAAATATGGGAAATTCTACCATATACACCTTTGGTTACGATCCTTGTGTCTTTAGTTATGATCCAAAAGTTGTTTGATTACACCTCATATGATGTTTGGTTACAACTCAATTCTTTTATTATTATTATATATATATATATATATATACATGAATCCCATAATATTGAGTTATGTCATTTGTAATAATTAAACTCACAATTAACATAACTTGTCTATGGTACCCATAGCATTACCCACAATATGTATATGGTTATATTGCTGGACTACGTGTACAAGGTTTATGGCATGCATCGACAAAATAAGAACATTAAAAAAGAAAATTTAAGAGAGGAAAAAAAAGAAGGAAGAATCACTATAAGAAATTACATTTTTGCCAACTAAATAAATTTTAGTCACGAAAATATCATATTTGCTGACTAAAAAAAAATTGGTAGCCAAAAGTTCACTACAAGAAAAAGCAGAATTGGCGACTATAAATAGAATTTTCGTCGCTGAAAATAGCAGAATTGGCGACTAAAATGGAATTAGTAGCTTTTGGCGACTAAAACAGTTTAATAGCCAAATGTATAGTTATTGGCGACTAAAAATCAGTTTAGTCGCCGATTATATGGGTTTTAGGGACTAAAAAAATTTTAGTAGCCAAAAGTGAAGGTTTTTGGCGACTGAAAACATTTAGTAGCAAAAAGTATAGGTTTTGGCGACTAAAAAATAGTTTGGTCGCCGATTATACGTGTTTTACCGACAAAAATAAATTTTGTAGCCAAAAGTGAAGGTTTTTTGCTACTAAAAAAAATTTAGTGGCTAAAAGTGTACAATTGGCCACTAAAATTCAGTTTAGTCGCTAAAAGTGAAGGTTTTGGGGACTAAAAATCAATTTAGTCTCCAAAAGTGGTTATTTTTAAGCGGGAATGAATTTTTTTAGCGACTAAAATATAATTAGTAGCCAAACTATAGAATTGGCGACTAAAAAATAGATTTAGTCGCCAAAAGTGGTCTCATTTGTTTTTTAGTTAATAATTTATTTTTTACATAAATTATATTGAATAAAAATAATTATGTTTATATATATAATTTTGTATTAATATGGGTCAATATACTATAAAAATAATATATGTTGCGTATATATTCATGTGGTGTTGTAGTGGCGTAGTGGAGAGAGTGTGTTGCTAAAGGTTTAGAATGTGGGAGATTGGTGGTTTGAATCTCAGAAAAAGCGGAAAAGTTAGTTTTTTTTTTTCTTTTTTTTCATGGAATAACCTTTGGTGACTAAAATTATTGGTCACCAAAAGTGTTTTTTTGGCGACTAAATGGATTGGTCGGCGATTCATTGACTATTGGCGACAAAAAGATTAGTCGCTAAATGTATAATTTTAAAAAGTGTAATTCACTATTAGCGACCAAAATTTTGGTCGCTAAAAATTTGTTTTTTGCCTACTAAAACTTTTTTAGTCGCCAATATCTTCCCCGACCGTGTTTTTGCGACAAAACCAGCAACTAAAAAATTTAGTCGGGGAAACTAAAAAGTCGACTTTTGACGACTAAAAATAGACTTTTGGCGACTATAAATTTAATCGCCAAATGTGCTTTTTCTTGTAGTGGTTTATGCTCATTAATGTGATTTAGTTGTAGATATGTTTTTTTGCATGACTAATTTGAAATATTAGTTGGCAAAAATAGAGGCGGGAGGGTGCAAAAGTGGGTGGGAGACATTAAACTTTTGGCAACTAATGAAAGTTAGTCACAGTTAGCAAAACGACGTCATTTTGCTTGTTGGACGCATAATGGGACAAATAAATGACACCAGTGGTATGTAAAAACACATATTTGCCCACCCAAAAAAAAAATAGTAGCATAGTGGCAATTTTTTTTTATTCTCCACAATTAATGTGATTTAGTCGTAGAAATGTTGTGTTGTGCGACTAATTTGAAATATTGGTCTAAAAAATTAGAAGCGGGAAGGTGAAAAAAAATGGGAGTCAAAAAATTTTTAGCGACTAATGAATTTTGGTCGCAGATATCAAAACGATGTCGTTTTGATGGTTAGCATGCCTATACTATTATATGGCGGCCAAGTGATTGGTCAAGAAAAATAATTAATATTTTTGGCGACTAAATTTGTTAGTCAGTTTTTCACCTGCGATGTTATAATTATTTTAAATTTTAAGAAAAATTTATAATTACATAAACATATTTATATTTATTATTTGTAAAATATATTAATTATATGTAATGTTTGGAAGAAAATGTAATAAAGATATATACATATATATCTTTTCCTAAAACAAATAAAGGTTGAATGTGGCATAGATGTGATTCTATGTTCAACTCTCTTAACTAACATAGTTTCACAAATTAACTTGTCATTTGAAAAAATAGAAGCCCAACCAATTCCAGTTTGAGCAATACCTGGACGTTAGCGACCAAAATTTTTTGTTGCAGAATGCTTCTACCGACTAAAAACAACCTTTTTGCAACTAAAAGTTTAATCGATGAAAGTATAATTTCTTATAATGAATATATTTTTTTTAAAAAAAGTCAAATGTTAATGTCTTTCAATATACTACGTGCCAAGAAAAAAATACTAGGACTAGTTTGAGAATCACATAAAATAGTCAAAAAGTTAATTCTTATCTTTACTTTTTATATATTTTTTTATAAAAAATTAAAAAATCAACTAAAATAACTAGTTCCTAAAACATCCATAAGTAAAAATCAATGTGCAATATGGATTTATTCTAAGTTAGAATGAATTTATTAGACAATTTACTAATTTTCTATATGTATTTTCTATCCATCTTTTTGATATTTTAGGTTCACTATAATTTTTTTTTTTTTTAAAAAAAGTGACAAATGTAAGATTATAATAATTTATAATTACCCCATATTTTTGCAAGCCAAGAAGTAGGAGCGTGCTCAAACCAGTGATGAGAACTCCAGCCCACACTGGAATATGGAATAGTATATTCAGGGCAAAGGCTGTCCCAATCACTGCCACAAAATTAAGCATCACAAAAATTCAAATACAATAATATTATAACAATTCAGCAACAAAAAAAAAAAAAACCTTAAATTTTAAATCTACAGCTAAGATTCACTCAAAAAGTGGCCCACAACAACAATTTAAAAAATACACCATTAATTTCTGAAATTTTTTTTTGTTATCTTAAGCTTACTGAATAAAATATGATGTGATGGTCTCTTAATAAGCCTTCATAAAATTTTTGTTGATTAAAAAGAAGAAAAAAAAAATCTTTTCTCATCAATTTTTTTTATTTTATGTATCAACAAAATAAAGCTTTATTGATGGAAAGATCAAGATACAAACAAGAGTGAACATCAACAAACAGAGAACCGCACAGAGTATCATAGCAAATCTAAACAATCTCAATTAAATTGGCACTGCAAATGAAACACAATCATATGTTGGCACTTGATCCAAGATCGGTGAAAAACCAATCAAAACAACCAAGGAAGGAAAAAAAAAAAAAAGAAAAAAAAAAAGAAAAAAAGCACAAAAAAGACAAACAACACCAACAATGGGCTATGGTGTGCTAGTAAGTGATTGTGCGTACATTTCAGTAGCAACCTAGTTGGGATCACTTTGTATCACTATGATACTTTCTGTACTTATTCGTTTTTCTTTAATGATGTAATATCTCAATTTTCATTAATAAAGGTTTTTTTTTTTTTTTTTTGGATCATTAAAGAAAATTTTCATTTAAACAGCATGAAATTAAAAGTATAAGAAGATGACATGTATTGAGAGAGATTCAAAAAGTATAAAAATACCTCTACTACTGCTACTCGCATCCATACAACCAACCGCTTAGCCTCTCAATTTTTTAAAAAAAAAATTAAGAAGAACTTAACTAGAAAATAAAATACAAAAATTCTCACATAATCAACCTACCAGAACACCCAAAACAAACCAAATTAACTAAACCAACACCCAAACTGCCCGAGCCACCCAAACTAAAGTCTAATCACAAACCCACTCTGCCAAGACCCACACCTCTGCAGCTACAACTCCCAAAGCTTCATCACCCACGCCTACTCTGCTGCCCATGCCACCCCTAAGATGATGCAACTCCCAACACCCAAAGCCTGCGCTGCCACCCATGCCGCAAGTCCTACACCAGCCACACCTAAGCTATTAACCGGACTGAGAAGGCTCCATAGCCAACACCGGGAAAAAACTTGAAGATGCTTCGTTGCTGCCCACGCCACAAGCAACCACTCCCATGCTGCAACTCCCCTGCTGCAACTCGAGAAGACCCCAAGCTGCTTCAACTCCCCTGCTGAAACTTGGCATTACAGCTCCAACATTAGCTGCCGAAAATAGAACACCCACTGCCACCACTAAACTCACCCACAGATCAACTCCCACCAGGACTGCTTCTTACACCTCTCTTCTTGTTCACACCCACTGCAGCCCCATGCACCGACCAACGACCACTGCAGACCCATGCACCGCCGGGACACCTCTATACACCCACTGCAGACCCATGCACCGACCAACTCTCACTGCAGACCCATGCACCGTCGGGACACCTCTAAACATTAGGAATAAGTTCACCCCTCAAACTCTCACTCGAATAGGAGCGCTCGAATGAAAAACCAGACAGATCTGGATCGACTACGACACCCAAGTTCCGCCCAAACAAAGCATCAATACATCCCCACCAAATCTGAATCAGAGTTCATCCCTCAAACTCCTACTCGCAAAAGAGCGCACGAATGAATGATAAAACAGTTAAACCGGACCCCGAAACACCAAAACAAATTCTACCGCAGCAACACATACACACCTAGGTGGGAAAAATGGGAGAATCAAGTTTATTGAAGGAAAAAGCTAACAAGCAAACACAGGAAGAAGAACAAGCTAGGCCAGCCGACCACCATGGCCAAAGGCGGCGGCCGGCCGGCCCAAAAAAGAGGCCTGGGGCGGAGGTTTTGGAGAGAGAGAGAGAGAGAGATTAATAAAGGGTCTTTTCTTTTACTAATCAAAAAAAATGTATATCTATTGCATGCATATATATATATATATATAGACTTCATTTGCCTTAACGAATAACTTAATTTTGTTTTTACTGATTTTTTAAATTTATTTTGGGTTATAATTATTCACTTTTTAGGTCTACTGAAATTAGACCATCTTAAAAACAAAATAGCATTTTTTTTTTTTTGAAAAAAACAAAATTTACTAAAGATGAAAATAAGCCAAATTTTGCTGAAAAGCTTTTTTTTTTTTTTTTTTGTGCTTTTTTGTTTCAAAAGAAAATACAAAATTCTAAAACTTTTAGGATTGTCTAATCTAGACAGACATAAAATTAAAACAATTTGTCTCAAAATTGAAAAAAATTACTAAAAATAAAAAAATACACTAAAAGAAAAGAAGCTAAACTAATACTTAATTTTCAGTGGACAATTTAAAGGACTTACCTTCAGGAATGTCTGCTGCTATGACAGCAATCTCCGCCAGAAACCATAAGCAATACTTCACAAATTTTGGGTACTCAGCCTTGCATAATTCTGATAAGTGTTTTCCTGCAAAATCAAAAACCAAAACCAAAACAACAACAAAAGTACTTGAGATGCCGCTCTGTAAATATCTCCGCAATTGTTTTTTTTTCTGTCTTAGATTGAAAAAATAATTTATTTTGCAACTTACCGGTGCTTACACCAAGATTTGCAGCGAGCGACTGAATTATGAGAGCGAAGATCATTCCGATAAGTACAACCCAAAGTAGCTGAAGGTATCAAATGAAAACAATAAAAGAAACATTAAAATGGGATTTTTTTTCTAAAATAAATAATAATTTTCTTGTATTTTTATGAGATAATTTACCTCAAATCTATGATTAGCTCCTGCTTGCAAATCAGTTTCCACTGTGACACGACACAAGAAATTGTGAAGTTAATGACCAAATATCATGATTTCAAATATATCGATAAATATGAGTATTAGAAATTTAAAATCCCCATATCTATCAGCTGATACGTGAGAGAGAGGTGAAGAGAGAGGGAGAGTTACGGTTTCCAGGGTCAATGTAAGCCAATGAGACGAGGAAACCAGGGCCAACAAAGGACATAAACTTTTTCCATCCAGGTTTCTAATCATGAATCGAACAAAAAAACAAAACAAAACAAACAAAGTAGACGATGTTTTCCGTTAGGCAAAACACAAAACTATAGAAATATTAAAAGATGAAGTAAAAAAGATGAGAGAGAGCTAGAGAGGATACCTGGTAATGCTTTTGATCAAATTCTTGATCATGATTATCAAAGTCTTGGTGGGTTGGACTAGGAGTCTTCAGCTCCACATCAATGGCCGCGATGCGATTGCTTCCTCCAATTCGGTTGCTTCCCCCATTACCTTGTTGTTGTTGAAGGCTTGCCATCTCTCTCTCTCTCTCTCTCTCTCTGTGGGCAATTCAAGACTGTCTATTGCTTGCTTCTTGTCTTGTATTTATAGTGCATGTGTTGTGAAAAATACACACTTTGTAGAATGCATGAAAGTGAAAAAACCACCTTACCATTTCCTTCCGCTAGACATGACAGAGCATGTCACTTTCTTTACCCAAACATGTCGCTTTCTTGACGCATATTACATTATTATAATCTTGAAATGGAAATTAAAATCATTTAACTGAATATTTGACATAAAAAAAAAAAAAACTATACATAGTCTATTTTTTACTGCATTTTCTTACATCTAACCTAATAAGTAGGAGTGAGTGGATCATATGTGTATTTTTTAATGTGACTTTTATTTCCTTGTGTATGGAAGTAATAAAATATGATGAGATATGTGATTACAATTATGTTAGTAATTCATAAAATTTTCACAAAATAAGATACAGTTGTGGGATCCATCTTTTTGTTTCACATCTGTCTTATTGAGTGAAAATCTTTTACGCACTTATGTTTTTCTTTTTCATGAGATTATATAGAAAATTACTCTTACAATTTTTATATTTTATGTATAGCATTATTTTGATTGGACACGTCAAATTTTAAGTATAATATCTTTTCCTTTTGTCATTATAGATTTAGTTTTAATTCGTTGTACGATAGAGAGATATCAACAAGTTTAATGACACAAAATTAATCATAAAGAACATACATATCAAATGGTGAGATTCGTTCTTAGTCATAAAGAAAAACAAAAAATTCACTCCGTTTGCCATTGCCACCGTTAGTCAAAAGATGTTTTTCCGAAAACGGTACCCTTTCAATTTGTTCTTATCATCTGCACTATTTGGCTCATTTCAGTCCATTGGATCAACTCTTCTCCACGTGTCTTCATCTGGGACAAAGTGCAGGACACTGCTGGAGGAAACTATGGCCGGAGAGGATCCTAATCCATAAAGAAGAGTGAAACAGTGGCAAAAAGAGGGAGCAGCAAGAGTGACCCATGGAGGATTACCCCCATAGGCAGCCTACTACAAACCCAACACAGTTGGCAAGGTACCAACACAAAACAAAAGCAAATGATCGCACGTGTGAAACCAAAAGAAAATGGAAATTCTCGTCTAGATTGTATCCAGGAAGTTTTAGATTTAAGTCTTGATCTTCTATTTAATAGACATATGAGGCTAGGAGGTAATTGCACATATCCTAACTTAACGCTCTTAGGTGGGTTTAAACAGCCCATTCAGGATCGGTTCTTGATTAAAAAAAACATAAACATAAACATAAACAGAAGAAAGACGAGACCAGAGGAATGCAGAATGGGAGCACTAACGTTGTGTTTGATGTTGTGTTTGATTGAGAGATATGGAAAAGAATTAGGAAATGAAAGAGAAAAAGTAAGTAAAATGTGAATAAAATATATAGTTATACACTTTTTTTCATTTCTTTTTTCAAATTTCTTCCTAAATCTCCCAACTAACCCTAAACCTCCCAACCAAACACAATACAAAGGAGATTCCATAACTTGAAATGAAGCATCTTATTCCTTGCTTCTGATATCTTTCAGGTTCAAAGATCGCATTGCTTTAAAACGTTAAAACATGCACACACAAAAAATATATATATATATATATATATTATATAACTGAAATTTATTTTAAATATAATTCATACCACACAATGTACAAAAATACATCTACTTTACATCTTCTATATTTTAATTATGTGCTAACAATATTATTATTTTCCATATTGAAACATCCACTACTGATCCTTGATTTTACCGAGAAAGTTGTCCTAAATTTTAACCCAAGAAACCTCTGTCATGTGCCTTGAAAACAACTTCAATACCTGTCAGTCACAATGTCTATGAGTAAAAAGTGTAACAATTAAGTATAACGGTAATATTGATACTACGATATCAATAAATTTTACATGTGGATGGCCAATTTTTACTTTTTAGGGGCCACGTAAACACAAAAAGATAAATAGTGAAAAATTATTAGACGGTGATACTAATAATGTGATATCACCATTGCATTAATTTATTTATTTTTTTATACATAGCCAAGAAAATTTGTGTGTTTATTTATTGTATTTTTTAATTGAATAATCAACTATAGAAGAAAATTCAACAAGGCAATCCGTAAAACTAACATTAACAATCATTATAATAACAATAAAAAAACCCATAATATGAAAGAAGTAGTTTAACTAAACAAAGAATCTCTAATGGGGAGTAAATAATCAATTTTTTTTTTTTCTATTTGCAATGATTGATCTCACTTAAGAGTATATAAGTGGCTTTTTAAAACAGGGTTTCTTTGCAATTCATGGCCTAAGAGTTTTTGTTGGTGATAAAAGTCGAATCTGAGGCGTTGGAATAAAGCGTAAACCCTGTCCAAATATACCATATATATAAAATATATATTTTTTTTATTTTAATATTTTTTGCTTTTTAGAAATAAAAAAATGACTAAAAAGTAAATTATAAAAAAAAATTCACTAAAAATAAATTAAAAAACAAAATTTAAAAACTAAACCAAATAAATCCTAAATCAAGCCACCTTAGGACAAAAAGAAAGCATTCTTGTCAAGTTCAGAATCTAGTAATTGTGACATTCTCAATATTGATACACAAATTAGTTAGTGTTAAGGCCTCGTTTGGGAACCTTCTCTTTTAATTAAAAAGTCAAAAAGTTATTAAATTAGTCAAAAAGTCAACAATTCATATCAAAAAGTCAAAGATTCTCTTTTCTCTCTACTTTTTGCACATCTTTTCGTAAAAAGTTAAAAAGTCATCCCAAACATACTAGTTTTTTTAGCTCATATTTTACCCAAATAGTCAAAAAATTACTAAATTAACCTATTCCCAAACGACAATTCCATCATTCAGTCCAATACCCAAGATATATATCATTCCATATCCCTTATACCAATCCATTACTTTACTAGTAGTCTTCCAAGGATTCCAATGAAGCAATACCAAGTTATCAACATTACACTTCTCACCCACCAGTCTTCTCTCCATGTAGCGTTTTTTCCTTCTCTAATCTTCTCCACCATTCAGTCAATAGAGCTTTGTTCTTCAATTTATAATCATAAGCCTCCAAATTCCTTTGTAGATGTAAGTATATAGTTTTTGAAAAATGGTGTTTTGCTTAGGTAGAAAATGAAAAAATTATTGTGTGTCACATGTGATAATATCCCAAAGATGATCCATACCATCCGTTGGTGTGGGAACCACACAATTGGTATGGGCCCATTGTCCACTTCAATGAATAATATAGATCATATTTGGTGTGACACTGGATAACTTTTCGTAAGAACTTATTTTTGAAAAATATTTTTTGTGCTAATAGTTGTGGTAGTCATGTTGTAGTGATAATGGTAATAAAGGCATGATAGCATCGATAGTGGTTATAGAGAAGAGTTGGCACGGACATTCTTAGTGGGGGTGACAATTGTGACGGCGTGCTAAGATTAGTCCAAAAAATATTTCTGTCACTTTTGAAAAGGAAAAATATTTTCCATCAACTCATTTTTAATTTAGGTATTGTTTGGGATAAATTAAATAAGTATATTTTTTGACTTTTTTGAAATATGGGTTGGATATGGGTTGGGTTTGAAGTGATGTGGTAGAGGGGTGATGTGACTTAAATAAGATGATGTGACTTAAATAGGATAGTGACTTTTTGACTTTTTAGCTTTTTTTAGTTATGCCAAACCAAGCCTTAGTATGACAAAAACAATTATTATTATTTTTGTTAATTTTTTTTCTCGTTATACCCCCAATTTTTTTTTTTAAAAAACTACTAAAACAAACAAAGCAGTAATGATTAGATAGATAAGAATTGAGTTTGTTTTTATAGGCAAATTACACAAATAGTTCCTATGGTTTGAGACTTGTGTCACTTTGGTCCCTGACTTTTCAATTATGACAAATTTGATCCTGAATTTTGAATCTTGTTCCAAATAAGGACAATTGAATATATAATTAGATTTTTCAAGAGTAAAATTGTCAATTTGATAAAATATAAATTAATTTGACAATACTCGGAACGAACAACAGGACACCCTGGTGATCTCCTCATGGGGCGCTGGTGGTTTAATGCTCGCACAGCGCTATTTGGTGTGGGTTTAATGCTCGCACAGTGTGGGTTTAATGCTCCCTCGCTGTGCGAATTCTGACTTAATCGAAACTTGCCTTGGGAGGTCGGGACAAGTTTCGAGGTTATAGTCTCTTACTCGGAACGAACAACAGGACACCCTGGTGATCTCCTCATGGGGCGCTGGTGGTTTAATGCTCGCACAGCGCTATTTGGTGTGGGTTTAATGCTCGCACAGTGTGGGTTTAATGCTCCCTCGCTGTGCGAATTCTGACTTAATCGAAACTTGCCTTGGGAGGTCGGGACAAGCTTCCAGGTTATAGTCTCTTACTCGGAACGGACAACAGGACACCCTGGTGATCTCCTCATGGGGCGCTGCCTTGGACCTGCGGGAGGATGAGAGGATTTCCCTGTAACAAAAAAAAAATTAAGTGTAACAATTAAGTATAACGGTAATATTGATACTATGATATTAATAATTCTTATATGTGGATGGCCAATTTCTACTTTTTAGGTGTCATGTAAACACAAAAAAATAAATAGTGAAAAATTATTAGACGGCGATACTAATAATGTGATATCACCATAGCATTAATTTTTTTTTTTCCATACATAACCAAGAAAAATTGTGTGTTTATTTATTGTATTTTTTAATTGAATAATCAACGATAGAAGAAAATTCAACAAGGCAATCCGTAAAACTAACATTAACAATTATCATAATAACTGACATGGGCAAGTCCATAAAGGTTATAGTCCACCACTTAGGATCCAATACATAATTCAAATACTAAAGCTCAGTGTTGCTGGAGCTCAACATGGCATCAAGAACCAATGACACCTATACACGTGGCAAGTGAAGGACAAGCCACATAAGCTTATTGCACTGCACATCAACCATTAATGAAGGTCCTTACAGCATTTATTGC